GCCAAGAGAACATAAGCACATACAAAATCATATAGAACGGTCATGGGGCAGGATGGTAGAGAAGAGGAAAGCAAGATTGGAGGATGACCGACCACTTGGAAGGCTGTGGTAACCTCCTAGGGGAGAGATGAGGAAGACCTGAAGTATATATGAAGATAAATGGTCAGGTTTGAGTTACTTTTTGGAGTTGAAATTGACAGGCTTTGCTAATGGAGGGGAGATGAAAGATGAGACAAAAGGAAGACCCCTGGGTCTCTGACTTGATCACCTTCATGGATGGCCCCATTGATTAACTCAGGAGAAAGGGGCTGAGTTGAGGAAGGGATTATGAGATGACAGTGAGTTCAGTTTGGGTTACATTGAGTTGGAGTTGGACCATCCAGGTAGATAGATCTGATAAACCATGGGCTACAAGGACCTGGCACACTCAGGAGAGAAATCTGGGCTAACGGTTCAGATTTTAGGAGTCATCATCATGCAGACAAGGTCCCTTTAAGAGAATGACTGGACACTGAGAAACCAAGTGTCCAGGATACCTGGGCACCATCTCTGAATAAAAGGGCAGTGTTATCACAGCTGTGCGTTGCCAGCATACTTGCTTTTTCATTCCCAGCCACGTCTCTGCCCCAAAGAGGGTTGGTTCCTTGATCATGTATGTGTGTCTCTCACGTAAATTTAGGGGAAGGAACATAGTAGCCAATCCTAATTTCTCCATTTGACCAGAAGTTATACCATCAGGGAAAAGGAACTTATATTTTTGTCTCATCTGTCAAGTATTTTACATTCATTCACTTTTTTAAAGGCTCACAGTAATACTACACAAGAGTTATTGTTGCACCCACGCCCTTGAGGCTCAGAATGGATAAGTCAGTTGCCCAAACATATAGCTCTTAAATGACAGTAAGGAGACTGGACTCCAGGTCTACCTATCGGTGCTGTCTCACCTTGTGAAATAACAACTGGGTTCTTAAGAAGACCTATGCACAAGCGTCTTCCCTTCCTGCTGCATAAATATATGCATCCCCTAACTTAACGCTTTGCTTACCATTAAACTACAAATTCCCTTAGGGAAAGTAAAGCTCTAAGATGTTAAGAGGCATTTATTCCTCAATGGGAATGAATTTCAGGCTCTTAGGAACACATTTTAATTCTATAGGAGGAGAATACTGAAAAGGAATAAATGACAGCAAGGAAATGGGCTGTGAAAAGTTGGCCCCCTTCATTAGTTGCACAGCCCTACTAGTCTGGGGTACATGGGCTTAAGATTTTTCGATGCCATTTCTGCATATGTCTGTTCTTCATGGAAAACTCTGCTTCCGTGTCTATTACCCAAATGTCTAGATCTGATTAAAGGTGACCTTAAACGCCACATTGACCCCAGACCACTGTAGTCAGCAGGAGGCAGCCAGCCCGGGCCGCAGCTGTGAACTTGTAGTCCCTGGCCTTAAACACAACGTGTAACCCTTTCCCTTGAGAATTAGACCTTGATGTGCACTTTTAAAATCCCGAGCAGATGGAGGTAGGGAAGCTTATTGGAGAGACGCGGAGGAGTCGCTTCTGCCCTGTCTGGGTCCGTTTGCCAAAATAAATGATATGTATCAGGGCAGGGCAGTGCTCCAAGCCTATTGAAATTCTGCTGGCAGTCCAAACGGTGATGGTGCTTTGGATTAGTTCTGTGAAATGATCAGGGCTAGGAAGAGAGAAATGACGTGTGAGCATCTGGCTGCTGCAGCCTACTGATAGGGAAAGTCCCAGGGGTAGGTCCGCGTGGGAAGCCTCAAGGACCCCCTTTGGACATCTGCCACTGGCAAGCAGTGTAAGAGCACTCATGGGTAGCAGACAGTCTGGTTTGAGTCCCACGCCGTTTCTACCAGCTATGTGACCTAAACAAGTCCTTCCTTTTCTTTCAGCCTCCTCCGCCTATGTATAAAATAAATCCTGGATTGAATGGTCTCTAAGAGCCTTTCATGCTCGAACATTCTGTGACTTCTCTGACACTGATTTGATTTCTTTTTCTCTGTAGTGGGAGAGGCCCACCCACCCACCTGTTTACCTGTGACTACTATGTTCTTACACTGCCCTCTGCTGGGGATTATGAAAAGTGTCACCAATAGAGTCTCCAGAAGAAAAAACCCAGTTCCCTGATTTAGGCTAGTACTAAGCTTCATCAGTACAGGGGGTACTGAGAAAGAAACCCTGCGTACTAGAGATGAGGAAAATGACCATGTGGCTATAAGCACAAAGTAAGCACATAGACATATATCTGACCAAGCAACCCACAAAACAAATATCTCCATTTTCTTTTTCATGGCTTCCCTGTAGTACTCTGGACCACAGTATGAAAGGATGTCAGTGGATGGGGAGGATCCTCGTCTCATATCCTCTAAATGCAAGTTTAGAAGGCCCTGGAACTATGATGACAAGGCAGTTCAAGACTAGCAGCACCCCCTGAAGCCTCAAGACGTCCCATATTCCCTGCTTCTGCCCTGAAGCCAGTCTGAGAGGTACTGACTGACGTGGTCACCAGCCTAAACACCTGGACCCAGCCCCAAAACTCCGTATTTCTTTGAGGGGAACCTTTGTAAATACCGCCTGTGGAAAAGGAGTTGATTTTTTAAATTCATGAATTCTTTAAGAGACTTACTTTCAGTTTTCTGGGTGGGACAGAAACAGCAAATTGAGTATGCCCACCCAGCCCAAGGAAAGGAAGCAGGCCTTTGCTGGGTGAAATCAGAGTTCCTGTTGAGTCCAGTCTTAGAATCACTTCATGCCTACATTCCCTTGCTGATATTTGCCGCTGAGTTTGTGCTCACAAAGGCAAGGAAACAGAGGTGGAATGTGTCACCCCATGTGCCCACGTTGGGCCCTGCTCAAGTTCCTCTAGCGGGGTGAGCAAGATGGGAATTAGACCACCTCACAGCCCACTTTCCCAGTAGCTGCTCAGTGGTTTAGCACGCTTTACTTCTCCCCTCTCTTGATGTGGGAAGGCTCTTTTCAGGGCTCCAATTTGGGTTAAGCATTCAATGCCCCAACTGAGCCTTCTCTCCTAGTAGTATCACCTCGGCAGACCCATCTTGCCCCTGTCCTCCCACCAAACAATGCTGTCCTCCCCAGCAGCTGCTCCTTCTCTGCCTCCCCTGCTCCAGTCTGAGGCGCACTGCCCTGGCCTCGTGCTGAAACATACGTGTTCTCCTGAATGGTTCTTGATGGCTTTTAGCCCTCAATACTGCTTTCCTCCCAGCTCGTTTTCTAGACCTACACATCAGTTCTTCAACTTCCTGCCTAGCTTCCTATGCCCACTTCACCTGGGGCTCACTCAGCCTTCCCAGGGTGGCCCATGACTCCCCCACCATAGGTCCAGTGTAAACATTCTGTAGACCTCCATGGCCAGCCCTGCCTCTGTATTCTTGCAGTGCTACTGTTCCAGATTTGTACTGGTGGTTATGGCTTGTACATCAGTCTTCAAAAGCAGGCCCGCAGTTTTTGACTTCTTCATTTATCCTCAACAGGACCCTTTCTGAAGGTACTGCTCTTTTTCTCTTTAGTCTATGCACACGTACACACATACACATGCTACACCTATACATACACATACTGATTTCCTTTACAGTAGAAGCACAGTAAGTAACCAGGGTGCTGCAAACAAAATTCCAACAGTGAGAGATAGCAGTCTGCAAGCTGAGTGCTTCCCCCCCCCATTTGCCCCCATCATTCACAGAAGGAAGTCTGTTTAACAGTTTGCAGCCTCGCACTATTTGCAGACATCAAGGGAAGAATGTCTTTTACTTCTTTGCAAGAGTCCTTAGGTTTTCGTAAACTTGACTTTTCACTGAAAATTGTACTCCTAAAGACCAGCACAACTAGTGGCCACTTGCATCTCTAATGCACAACTGTAACCACTGTGTAAGGCGTCTGTCCTGTTTTCACCCCTTAAAAAGTAAACCTTGAAGTGAATAGTAAAGGGCATGTTTAATGGGCGTTTTTCACAGATTTGTAGGCAATTACAGACCGTCAGTAAAGAGGCCAGGAGGTGGAAATGGGAAGCATTTATGAAAATAGGCTTTCTCTCTCATATGGTGTTGTGTTCTCTGAGAGGTAATGTACGTTACTAATGGTTTTCATTTTTCTGCCAAGAAAATTCAGCCCCTACTGGGATTTGTTCTAAATGACAGTCCGGCCTGCCTGTGTTTCACCCACTGAGGTTAATTCTCAGCCTCAGTCTGCTTTAAAATGTCAGCCTGAACTCTCAGACTTAATTGTTACAGACATTTTATATCCAGGGCCTTCAAAAATCCCCAGGCTGCTCCCTCTTACTAACATAACTGATATTTAAAGAGATTTCTCAGGCTCCTTGCATTTCACACATTCAACTATACAAGTGGGGTGGGTGGTAAATAGGAAGGAATATCGAGTAAACAATTAGTGTGTGTACACGAGTGTGTGTGTGTGTGTGTGTGTGTGTTCCCTGTGTGTTGCCAGATGCAGTGATGGAGTCCCTCGATCAGCCAGCACAGATGAATTCTGACAAGTCGATCAGCTCATGGGTTCTCCCCTCTCTGGCCCCCTGTGGCCGCATTCTTTAGGCACAGTCATTTCCACCCTTCACTGCAAGCGTGCGGTTGGCCATTTGGAGTTATAAGACGCCACGATGTTCTCCAGCGTTCTGTTCTTTTACTACTTTGACAATCTGATGAATGACCTGGTATTAACTTAGAAGAGGACAGTATTGTCCAGCCTGAATAGCTAATCTAAGAAGTACAAAGTTGAACGGTCTTGGTGCACATGAATCTTATTAAATGTGCTTATGAAATGTGTTCTACCCAAATAAGCTTAGCGATCCCTAAAATAGCTTTTCTGATACATGTCTGGAACTTTGGCATGCCTCACAGATCTCTAAGCCAAAATTATTTAGTGCAGTGGTGACGGTGTTGTTTGTGCATGGGAAAATGGGAAGGGTTGATGTTAAATCCTCTATTGACTAATTATACTCTTTTGTTTAGGGGAGACCTGGACCAATTGGAATTCAAGGTCCCACTGGTCCTGAAGGACCTGTTGGAACTACTGGCTTATCAGGGCTGAAAGGACGAAATGGTTTCCCAGGTCCTCTGGGTCCATATGGACCGAAAGGAGACAAGGTGAGATCATCAAAAGCTTGCTTTCTCTGTAGTGCGTGGGTGCAGGTACGAAAGTCAAAAGCTGTCGATCTCAATTCTGCTTATTTATGAAAACAATATTGTCCCTGAATATTTTGGTACGATGCTACCTACTCTGGTAAGAGATAATCTCCATTTCTCAAGAGACTTTCACAGCAAGCAAACTTTAGAATAAATGTATTAACTACTTTCAGGATAAGTAGGCTCCCTGTGGTGAGAAGTCATGTGTCTTTGAACCAGGCATGACTCAGAACTGCAGTCAGCTGAGCAGTAGACATTAAGAATCCAAGAAGAGAGACTGGGAAACAAGAGGTCAGAGTGCTTACAAGCAATCTGGGCCACAAATATAAGGAAAAAGCTGCAAGAAAGGAGAGTGACAATGGCATGGTGGCTAGCCAACTGAATTCAGCAGCTCAGTTCACATTCCCTGCCCATTTTAACCACTTGTTAACTTTATTAGTGAAGAAGGGATTCTCATTCTAGGAGACTAGGGGTGACCCACTATCACACAACCCCTGAGACTGGACAGACGAAGCTGCTAGTAGGATATTAGTCACAGTTTATGCTCACAGTTCAGGGAAGGAGGGCACTGTACACGTGTAAGGTCACACAGAGGTTGCACTCGGGAACAGAGTGAATTAAGAGGCTATGGGAGGTACACTTTATAGTATCAAGAGGTTAGAGTGCCTGTGGTTCCTGAAGGTAGATGTGATCCGGCTTTGTGAATAATCCAGTGTTCTAGCAGGGAACTAAAACAGCTATTCCAGGATAAGCAAGAACTGCTCCCATTCCATTTGGTAAGGAGAGTTGTTTGGCTCAAGGATCTTATCTAAAGGAGCAGAGTGGGGAGAGAACGTATGGCAAGGCTATTTATAGTCCTCCTAGTTTTCTCCAAATGTCAATGTGATACTGAGCCTTAATTTTAGGACTTACACTGTACTGCCTAAGAACTGTTCTCAGTTCATAGATATGTCCAAGGCCCTGGGGAGAAGCAAATGATGTCTTGGAGATGGAGTAGGGAGCAAGGCAGCACAGTGGGAGTGGACTACAAAACACTTCTTAACAACTTAGGTTTTTGAATCACATAAGCTGACAAATCTAACAACCACCAACTAGATGTGTCTTACACTCTTCTTCCTATTCTTTTTAGGGCCCCATGGGAGTTCCCGGCTTTCTTGGCATCAATGGCATTCCGGTGAGTGTATTCACAGAAGCATTTTTAATATCACGCTGTAGGGCCTGCCTAATAGCCCAGGCACTTGGGCCTTGGTGACATCCTGTCTCACGCAAGCATGCTGGAGGTCAAGTAGTGAGACATGTGTGGTGTGGTTTGAAGGGCAGTAGTCACATGGTTACCCTTGGACTCGGGTACTGGCAGCCTAAGTCAAATGGTTGTGAGGTGGAGAACCACGTGCATACATAAGCAACCATTAATATCTTAGCCAAATTAATTCGATCTTATGCGTTGAGGGGCTCTTTGACTGGAGATGAGGGACTGGTTCTAAGGTTTAGAAAAATCACCACATAAATTCATAGAAATATTCATTATACAAAAATTAAGATGCACACAATTAGATAGAAAAGTCCTTCATGATAACATTTTGTTTCAGTACTTTGTTCTCTCAGCCTTATATCATTTCAGAGTGAATTTCCCTTTAGTTTTTACCAAGTGACCAGTCCAATGATCACTTAGAAGCAGCCTCTTCCACTCGTCCTGAGGACCTCTGCTCTGCTGGAGATGAGTGGGGATGTGGAGCCTGCAGATACCCCTTTTCCCATTTCATCCAGTCTAATCCCTTAGCTTCTCCACTATGGTATCATCCTCCAACTAAGCCCACTGCTGGAGCTTCCACTGTGGCCTTTCACCAACGTTTACTATATGTGAAACTTACTATCACTTTTTAGCTCTGTCCTTTGCCACTTTTCTCTATATTTAATCTATAGCTATAGTTCACTGTGTTTGTCACTGTGTTTTCTATCTTGTTGAAGGAGAACCACACTCTTGTAAGGAAGATCAATATATAGAAGAGGGAAAAGTGCAGCTCATCCATCTGAGGAACGCCCTCGAACCTGCCTTTATTCTTATAACTTCTAAGAGTTTCTTCTGCCTCTTATCAAAGCAGTTTGGGAAGCCCTAGACATCAAGTCTTCTTGTGTTATGCTACATAGCTAGTGTAAAGGAAGAGAGTTCTAATCTCTTGTGCCAATCTATAGATATTTCTTGAGCACCTACTATGTGCCAACACTCTTCTAAGAGCCAGGGGGTGAGAGAAACTAGCAAACTAGAGGCAGTTTCTGCCATTTATCCTGACCTTACCAGAGATGAATCGGGGACTTAGAGCTTGCAGTGTTAATATCCTACCTCCTGCAGTCTCTTTTTAATGGGAGCTGGAAGGAAGTAAATACTATGAGATCAGTGGTTGTTGCTAAATCTAAACTTGAACCCCCTACTGCATTCCACACCACAGTCTGCACCACAATCCAGCTGGGCTTCGCTGCCCTCAACTTGTAGCCAAGACAGCCCTAGAGCTTGCAGAAACTGATCACTTCTCTTTGGAGCTTCATCTCTGTGGAGAGAAAGTTTAGCTGCCTGTCCTGACTCCTCCAAATGAGCTTGCTGCTCCCAGTAGACACCCCTACCCCCGGCCCTTCCTCTAACGTAACATTTTATGTGTTCTCTTTGACTTTTGACTGCCCTGTCTTCAGACTCCAAGCCTCAGTATTACGTGAAATCCTTCTCCCTTATTCTTTCCCTCTGTTCCAGCTAATCAAGCAGTAGGTACTGAGTACCTCCCACTGAATGCTTATCTACCTCTTCCTTCTCTAAGAATCTAGGAGTCCTTTGAGTCTATCTCAGGTCCTGTATATCCTCATTTCATAGAGCCCCGTGGTGTTTGTTTATTATCTCATATGATAGCCTATCTGGTTCCTTGAGAGAACAGATTATGTCTTCTGCTCCTCCCAGAGACACCAGAGGCCCAAGTCTGAGTTCAACATATAATAGGAAATCTAAAAAGATTTCAAGGATGGACTTCAAACTATGGGGCCTATAGAAGCTGCAGTTCTCACACTGGCAGCATTCTCTCACTCAGGAAAACACAATCATGATAGGCACACATTACATATTTTGTTCAGTTTTCAGCAACAAGTTTTAAGCAATTTTTCTGAAGCAGCTTCTCCAACATATCTGGCTAAGCTGAACCACCACATGGATATGGTTTTCCTGTTAATATTGGCTGATTGTTAACATATGTGCCATTGGTTTGGGTCCCCAAACTCCACTTTTGCTTAATGTAGACAATTTCAGCACAAGTGAATGAGTAGTCATTCTATAACAATCTAAGTCTTTGCACTGAGAGGCACAGCAACAAGTGGAGAAAGGGAACAAGCAAGCATACATTAAGATATTCAGGGCCAGAACAGCATAGAATATTGACAATGGGGTTGTTTCTTTAATGATATCCCAGTTGTGAGTTGGACCTGTTGGCACCCACAAGATACGTATGTTTATCAAATGTTTTCAGTTCAAATAAGTTGGGGGCAGAAGTTTTCAAGTTGTTCTTTGTGATTTATGTTTATCTTTTCCCATGGACTCAGTATCAAACATTTCCTTGCTTAGACTAGTAAATGAGCACACTAGATGTATATCTTCAAAGTGGACACAAACTATTCATCAAATTGAATCTTTTCCTTTACAAGTAGGTTCTGGGGAACACTGCTTTTCTAGAAGACAGCAGATCCTGCTGGTCTGAATGCTCATTCTCTGGTTGCTATGTAGAAACTTGGTTTTCTCCCTCAAAGAGCTACACTCTCTTGAAAATGTGGTATACACATATGTAAAATAATTCATTATACAAAGGGGAAAAATATCAGATATTTTGTGGTACTGAAAATTGAGAAGACTTGCCTGGGAGAAAAAATGATTTCCCATTTATTGAGCTCCTACTTAGCAAATCTAATCTCTTTTGATTTTGACTATTTCCCAATGATGTAGGAGTTATTCATTTTTAATGTTGATGGCAACCCTAGAAAGGCATTATTCATCACCATTTTACAGGTGAGGGAATTGAGGTTGCAGCTTGGCAATGGCAAAGCTGGAGCTGGAACACAAATAGAACTGGCTCAAAATATGCATTATCCACCATTCCATCATATCAGCTGGATGAGAAACAGTTGACAGGTCTAAGTTAGAGGCTAATTCCAAAGAATGGAAGAGTAAACAGATATCCTTGGCATCCTAGGTAGGAGATATCAAAAATTTCGGTGAAAAAACTAGAGAAGGATTGAGCCCAAATTTCAAAATGTAGAGACAAAAATGTAAGAATCTATGCAAAGATCTTGGTGTCTATCTGAAGCAAAATCTTAGGAGTAAGGAAAACCCTTGGCAGTGAGTCTGCCGCTTGCCTTGCCTTAACTTATTCCTGCTACCAGCTCAGAGACAAACATCACCCAGGAAGTTTGCCTGGGATATTTTAGAGTGCTGGTTAGGATCCCAATAGGACACAAGTACTACATCCAAAGAGTAACTGAATAGGTTGAATGAAGAGTAAATGTAGAGACTATGAGCAGAATTAAGGGGAACAACAGTGGGTACTTCAAAGGTTAAAATATAGAATCATAATACTACAACACAGTGAAATTTGGAGGTGTAGAATAGCTGCTGTCTAGTAGGAGCTAAGCCTGTAGAGAAACTCAGTTATTACCAAGAAATATAGAGAAGGAGACAATCCTTGGATGAAATAAATAAGATGTACTCTTTCTCGTGCTCCAGTCTCCAGACTGTACCCTAATACAACTGGGAGACAGAGGGCAAGGGAGTCTGATTGGTACTGTTGATAGAGGCCAGCCACCAAGGACACAAACCTGGAGATCTTCAGGGCAAAGAAGAATAACTGTCCCAGTTGGACATAAAGATGATGACTCAAATAGGCCGCATCCGTTTCCACAGTATAACTAAAAATCATCTCCTGGGTTTGCAGAGGCACGGATTGTATGAAATTTATTGCAAAGACAGATTCTGACAGTTCCTCTGGATTTAATATTCCATGAGTCCAGTAGCCTAGACTCACACATTTGTATTAACAGTCTGTCTACTTCCTACAACTGTAATAACAAAAAAATTAAATAGAACTCTATGGAGCATTTTCTAAAGCTTTTGCAAAAGATTATTTCCTCTAACTCAGTACTCCTCCTTATTGATGGGGAATACATGTCAAGAGCCCCAATAGGTGCCAGAAACCATGCATATAATTTATAGAACTATAATATAATGCCTTTTCTGTCTTAAAGGAGCACTTCTCATGCATCGTGTCATAACTTTTGCAGTTTAAGGTGTTACTGTCAAACTAGTACAAATTTCCTCTTTCTTCACAATTTCAAAGAAGATTTATTGTTACCATATGTCTTAGTTACTTTCTTGATGCTGAGACACAATACCTGATGCCCACAACTTAAAGAAAGAAAGGTTTATTTTGTCTTAAATTAATGTTACTGGTACACTTTTGATATGCATAATGATCACATTCATCATAGGGAATTTGTATCTGTAAATAATATATCTTGATTTTGCTTTTTTTACTCTATTCCCCTCCTCTCCCTTAAATCCTTCCTCCCCTCCTTATTTACAAAACCTTTCTTTCAATTTTTTGCCTTCAATACTCTTTTTTCACCTCTCCCTTCCTTCCCATTCTCTTCTTCCCTCCCTTGTTCTTACTCCAATTTGAACATTTTCTTCCTACTCCTCAATATCTGTCTTCATCTTTATTTACACTTTTGGTGACTCATACAAGAGGAACAATATGATATTTATACACACGTGTCAATTTATTTCACTTAAAAGTATGGTCTCAAGGTGCATCCACTGACCCAAAAATGTCTCAAGTTTATCATCCTTTATGGCAGAGTAGTACTCTATTTCATATAAAAATCACATCTTCTTTATCCATCCATCTGTTGATGGGCATCTAGACAGTTTCCAAGATTTAGTTATTACAAATTGTGCTGCTATAAACATGGGTGTGCATATATCGTTGCAGTATAATGCTTTAGGTATTTTAGGAAGATACTAAGAAGGGGAATATTTGGGTCAAACAGAACTTCTAATTTTAGGTTTTTGAGGAATCTCTATGAGGATTTCCATATTTGTGGTACCAATTTACACTACCATCAACAATGGAGAAGTGTTCCTTTTTCATC